TAAAAGTGATTTCTCTCAGATATTTAATCTATACAAAATCTTTGAATAATGAGAAATGTATACATAGAACTTAAACATGTAAAAATGCACTATAAAAAAGTGCTGTTACCTTAGCAAAGTCACATACGTATTTGTAGACAGCTGATCTAAGAGGACATCTTTATTATCCCCAACCAAGAGAAGGCTACCTGATCATCTGCTTAAGCACAGACTAGTTCCTATAATTGCTAGCTCCCAGTAATTGCAAATACAACACCTTTGAGGTACAACCTTTTGGAGAATGGGGTTTTTCATTTGTTTATTTGTTTAATGAGCATATATTCTCTATGCTAGGCACTATACCAAGAAATCTAATTGTAATAACTCAAATTGTGAAACATTGAAATGCACATGATAGATAATTTCAACAATGTCTTATAGCAAGTCTGTGGTATACAGTAACAAAACCTTGGTCTTCTGCTTTTCCAATATTCCAGGCTGCCTTGGTTCAAATTCTCCTGATAATTTATGTAAAATTGCTAGGTTGATTTTGGGTTATGAATATTACCCTTGGCAGGCTGCTTCCAAATTACCATATAATTGTATGTTAATTATCATATTCCTCATACTGCAAATGAACTTATATAGGAAATATAATTATAGCTACTAGATTCTAGACTCTGGGAATCAGGTGATTCAAACTGGCTCTTTCTCTCTCATAATTCTGTAGGAGCATATCGTAAAAGAGGAATGGTATTTCCCACCACAGTCCCAGCTGGTAATTCTGATTGTCCCATGATTTCACAGCTGCAAATCAGCCCCCAATCACACTTGTCTCTGGCAATGATCCTTTCCTTAATTAGAACATGACTTAGACTTTAGTCCTAACTTATCTGTTGCCTTGGCCCTAGGCTACTTGAGTACAGGCTGGCTTAGTTGGAAAAGAAAATCTACTTGAACATAGGTCTGTTTGTCCTAATATTGAACAAAGTGAAGAGCCGTTTGTCTGGTTGATGAATTTACTTTATTTAGCAAATGAATTTACTTTCTTAGACAACTTCTCTTACAATCTAGTCTCATGTCTAGGCTTCATATTTGTGGTGTTATTTTTACAGTTCTTATACCTTCCCCAACTTGGGTATGGTCTCTAGAAAAAGCCACTAGCCCCTGTCCAAGCCTGTATGTGACAGCATATGGGGTGTGATGTGAGGAGCAGGCAAGGCCTTCCTCTAAGGCGGCAGGCAGGTCAAACTTAATATTGCCCTTTCCTCCTTTTTTAAAAAACTTTAAATTTTCAGGGTCCCTGTCACTTCTCTGAGTGGTTAAGTCACACAGATGAGAGCTTTCCTCTACAAGTCTATGTCAAAATACATGTATATTAGAGAGAAAGGCATACTTAAAGAAATGTGGTTTCTGGCCTTCTTTCTGCTCACCTTACGTTTTAGATGCATTCCCTTGGAAAGGCACCAATAGAAGCTAAACAGAAGGTACACAGAAAATGAGGATAGGGTGAAATGACAGAAAAAGTAAACATTTTATTTTTCAAATGACAAATATTCATTAAGCATCTACAATGTATATGGATTTAATATACTAGATAGCTGGGGAAGATATAAAAGTGATGCAAAATCTGCTTCCATGAATTCTGAGAGATAATCTGTGAGCCAGTATCTACATGTGAATCTAAATGTTTCACATATAGATTTGTGAAACAGGTAAGAGTGCTATTTGGTACATGAAGAAGTGCTGAAAATAGACAGTATTTGCTACAGAATCCTCTCACAGAGGGCACGATATTAGAGTGGTATAGATAGTTAAGGAGGAACCTCAGGTTTATTATTATTTTGTATAATCATAGTTGGCTTGGAATTGGACTGTATATAGTGTTTAGCGGAGAAAAGAAGGAAACAAATTAGGCTACAATAAAATATTTACTTTGAGCAACTGAAGACAGGAGTTGAGACTATATCTCATGGGCTCTAGAGAGCCATCTGCTATGGTCTCAATGGTTTTGTCCCATTCCCCAAATTTCATGTTGAAACTTAATCCCTAATGCAACAGTGTTGTAAAGTCTAGCCTTTTGGAGGTGACTGAGTTTTAAGGGCTCTGCCCTCATGAATGGGATTAGGAGCCCTTATAAAAGGGCTTGGCAAAAGGAATTTGACCCTTTTTGCCCCTTCACCTTCTTCTATGAGGACAAAGCTTTTCTCCTCTCCAGAGGAGGTGTTCAAGATGCCATCTTAGAAGCACAGATGGGATGTTTACCATACAACCAAATCTGCCATGCCTTGCTCTTGAATTTTCCAGCCTCCAGAATTGTGAGAAAATAAATATTTATTCTTTATAATTTCTTATAATTCATAATTACCCAGTCTGTAATATTTTGTTACAGCAGCATAAACAGACTGTGACAGTTAATACTGAGTGTCAACTTGATTGGATTAATGGATGCAAAGTATTGATCATGGGTTTGTCTGTGAGGGTGTTGCCAAAGGAAATTAACATTTGAGCCAGTGGGCTGGGAAAAGCAGATCCACCCTTAATCTGGGTGGGCACTATCTAATCAGCTGCCAGTGCAGGTAGGATATAAAGCAGGCAGAAAAACGTGAAAAGACTAGACTGGGCCTAGTCTTCTATCCTACATCTTTTTCCTGTGCTGTATATTTCCTGCCCTCGAACATCACACCCCAAGTTCTTTAGTTTTGGAACTCAGACTGGCTCTCTGCTTCTCACCTTGCAGATGGCCTATTGTGGGATCTGTGATCGTGTGAGTTAATACTTAATCATCGTCTCTTTATATATATCCTATTAGTTCTGTCCCTCTAGAGAACCCTGACTAATATACATACTAAGACACCATCCCAGCTAGATGTCTGAATAGAAAAATAACAAGATAAAATGGATGTCTTAGGAAGAACTGTGTTGATGGTGTATTTGAGATAGGAGACACTGCAGGAGAAAGGACTGGTTAGGCAACAGCAGAAATGCAAATTTGTTTAAGACAGTAATGTCAAAAGAAAAACTTCAGCCAAATTAAATTTAAAGGAGTTTGAGCAATGAACAATTCATGAATTGGGCAGCCTCCCTAGCCAGAGTAGGTCTGAGACTCCAGTGCAGCCACATGGTGGAAGATGATTTATGGACAGAAGAAGGAAACTGATGCACAGAAAACTGAGGTACTGAGGTACAGAACCAGCTGGACTGGTTACAGTTTGGGATTTGCCTTATTTGAACAAGGTTTGAACAAATGACTACATTTGATTGGCCAAAACTCAGTAATTGACACAAGTGTAGACTATGGTCTGTTTACACATCCACTTGTTATAGCTGACGATATATAAACCTTTAGGCTGAACTTAAAATATATAAGGAGGCTGCTTTAGGCTAAACTTCATTTAACAGTAACTAGGGATGAAGGTGAAAGAAAGAATTTTAAACAACTGTCTGGACTTGGAAAATTATTGAGATGAAGAGGCAAAGAAGACAATGAGGTTTCCAGCCTGAATGACTCAGCTTCCAGCGGGTGAGGGTGACCTAGTGTCAGCTAGGTGACTTAGTAAAAGGGAAAGTCCCAGATCTCAGTAAGTATAAGTAGAGATTCACGGAATTGTAAAGCTGGAAAGGGCTCTAGAGATAATCTATTTTAGATCCTTTATTTTATAAGAGGACAACCAAATCAAAAGAAAGGTCTGTGACTCAGCCCAGGGCAGTGAGCATGGAGTAGGGCCATAGTGTAGCAGCAACCACATCCTCTCCCACTGGGCAATCCTGCTTGCTTCCTCATCCTGACTATGTAGCTCTCTGGACAGCGGCTCTCAAGTTCTGAACCGAGGACAATGGCCTGTCTGCAGCCAAACCGGGCAAAATAAGGGAAACAGATATTTCAAAAAGCTAATCATTTAAGAAATCAACCTTTACTCTGTAATTAATCTAAATTCCTTAGCTTTTGTTTTGTTTTAATCTATGGATAATCTTTAAAACCCGCAAGTCCAAGAGTCGTTTCTCTGTAGGATGGCAAGTTCTGTGTAAGCTCTCTTTCCCAAAGCACAAAGGCAGGGGGTAAAGATGCAGCCACAAAAAGGATGACAACACAGTGTCTTCCTGGCTCTGCCCCCATCCCCACTGCCAGGATTACAGCCATCTTCCCTTTGTTGTAATTCTCTCGCGATAGGGGTGGGCAGGAGTCCCCGACAGAGGGATGGGGGCGGGTGAGCGGCTCCCACCACCCAGAGCTCTGAATCACTGTCCCTCGGCCGGAGACCAAGGCTTGGTGTTGGCTGCCGGGGCGTGGACATCCAATCCTGATACAGCCCTGTGGGATTTCTTTAATCCTTAGTCATACGTACGGCACACCGCAAAAGCGGCTTTAAGCCCCTCCCCAGCTAATTACCTTCGCGTAATGACGCCTCAGCCCCTCACAGAAGCAGACCCTGGTGGGCTGCCCCGTCCCAGCTCCAGAAAGGCTCCGCTACCCGCCGGGATCCAGAGCTGAGCTCCTTCTCGGGGAGCTAAAACCCGACAGGGGATAACGGGCCACAGCACCGTCTTGGCATTAAGTCACGGGCCTGGGGCACGCTGAATTAGCCGGCGGGAAGGCCTGTGGTGGCAATCACCGAGGGTCCAGCGAGGGCTGACCCATTTCCTCCACAAACGAGCTAACGCGAAAGCAGTGCCCTGGAGTCAAGAAATCGGGGCTGCTTCTCCGAGTAGCGGCGAGAACAAGTCATATTACTTGGGCCCGTTACCTCAACTGTAAAATGAGGGGTCTAGGATTCCCTGTAGGAATGCAGGATTCTAAAATCGAACAGTGTTGGTAGCACCGCCCGGGCGGAGCCTCAACGGGCGCCACGGGAATCCAACGGCAGGACTCGCCACTGCAGGGGCTCCCTCCAGACCCTACTCTCCGCCACGTCGCTGCGGGGTCAGAGGGCAGCGTGCGCGTCCCCTCCGGGCCTGCGTGCGCGTCTCCGCCCAACTGCCGGCCGAAGCCGGGCCGGGTGGGCGGGGCGCAGCGGGGCGGGGCGCGCGTGGAGGGTGGCTGCCTCTGGAGTAGGCCGGCAGGAGAGGAGAAAAGGCGGCGGCTCGACTCGGGGATAGGGGCGGAGGAGGTAGTCCGGACGGCTCTGTGGGGCACGGAGCGTCGTCCGGACAGAGCGGAGCCAGCTGGGCACTGCGGCCAGGGCAGCTAGGGCCTGAGCCGCGGTTCGGCCGCGCCGGCCGGTAAGTGTCGGAAGGCCCGCAGTGGAGGCCGGCGGCGTCCGCGCTGCGGCGGGAATGGAGGCGGTGGCCGGCCAGTGTGAGGCCCGCCACCGGGACCGAGGCGCCGGCGCTGGCGGCCGTGGGGTCGGCGGGCCCGGCCTGGAGCGGAGGAAAGGCGGCAGACCCCTGTCAGTTTGCGTCCCGGGTCGGCAGTCCGGGTGCGCTGACTGGGCGTCCGCCGCGCTGCTGTCCGCGCGGCCGCCTGCCGGGCTAGCCATGAGGTCAGCAAATGGCGACCCAAGCCCTAGGGCACCGACCTCCGTGTCCCCCCAGTTTGTATGTCTGTGTAAAGGGCCGAAGGAGTTAAACTTAGGGAACCTTAAGCTTCTCGTTCCGTCTGGCTTTTGAAAACTTGGGTTCTTTGGGGACAAACGGGTTAAAGAGACTGGGGAAGCATCGTCCACAGTCTGCACGGGATGAGCAAAGTTGGTAACTTTTCCATTCATGGAAGTGAGAGGATCTTAGCCTATTAAAGGGAAACTTCCTTATTTTGCAGACCTGAGGTTGTGTGTGTCCTGCGCCTTGGAAGTACTTTGCCTGGAAGGGGTTTGTAGAGCGCGTGCTGAATTCAGAGTAATCTGCCAGTATGTTTTTAACGGGTGTATTTGGGAGTATAGAGTCAAACAGGCAGAACAATGTGTGTTTACCGTGGTTCGGACGTACTCCACTTCCCTCTGCCTTTCTCTTGTTTTTCTTTTTGAGCCCTGTCGTAAGTCCCAGATAAAAGTTGCTTGGGAACGAATTGACCTTTTATTCCATGATTACTTCGTTGACTCTGATCCAAGATGGAGTTATTTGTGGGCATTCTGATATAGGTGTAGGTTAATTTAAAACTCTTTTAGTACAAAATCCCAAACTGTAAATTTTAATTTCTGTTTGCTAAGTTTCAATAGTGTTTGTTCTTTAGAGACCTATGTAAATTATATTAACAGGTCTTGCATTTGCTCATAACAAGTTTTTCTAAAGCAGTCAAATTGTTGAAATGGCAAAAGGGAAAGAGTAGCATGAAATAAACCTTTAGGATTTTTCAGAGGGTTAGATTTCAATATGCGGTTTCCGCTGAATCACTCTTCTTCATGCTTAGTCACTGTTTCTCATTACAGTAGTGTAATTGGGGATAACATTGTGTTTTGCTAACTTTTTTATTTCCTAGTTTGTTTTTACCTAGTACTTTAATGCCGTGACATAACTTTTTTGTTTTTTAATTCTGGAAATGGTGGAGTTTCATGAATGCTGTAAGAGAACTGAAGTTTCCAATATAGGCAAACTTTAATGTATTCCAAGTGTACTAGGTATTTAATTTCAATCCAGCATTTCTCCCGGTCTAACATTGGGAGACTTCTTCTAAAAAGTGTCTTTAATATACCATTAAAAAGCAATATTATATAAGTAATGATAACGTGTATACAGAGGTACTTTAAGGTCACCAAAATAGACATTGGTTAATGTTTACTGTTTGATATAACATGTTTCTAAGATGAGAATATTTTAATGGATAAGCCCTTTGCTATTCTGTATGATTTTGGATAAATTTTTTAATTGAGTTGCTAAGACTGCTTATTTGATAAAAGGAATTAGTACATACTATGGAATGTCATTGTATTTATAAAATTTGTTGACATTAAACAATTCAAATGCTATGTAAAATATAAATTCAAATTCAGTGTGATGAAATACATGAGATTGGCCTTAGACAAGTTGCTTCTGTATTTTAAGTAGCTAGATGTTAGATACAGACAGGTACCTCATTTAAAACCCAGTCTGTGAAAATCTTTCATGAAAAAAAAAACAAACTTTTTTTAAAGCATGGGTAATGTTATTACTAGGTAGTTCCTCATATGATTGCATTTAATAAATTAACTCATCAAAATAATTACTCCACATTTTTGTTTATTTAAGTGTGGCTGTTGTGCAAATTGAAGTATCTCTGGTTTCTGAGACATGTTTAGATCCTATTGGACACACTCATAATTGTAAACAATCTTTATAAAGTTCTAGATTGTTTGCGGAATACAGTAATTGCCTCAAGGTCACAAAGTTGAGACTTCTTGGAGGCCCATTTTCCAATGACATGTTACCTGTTTTAATAAACTGAGTTCTGCCATTTGGGTGGATTATTTTTGTCTGAGTATCAACTCAAATAGATTATAGTCCAAGTATTAAGTATTAAAACTATTTCAATTTCCCATGTAATTCTATGATGATTTCATTTGCTTATTTAGTGGATAACATTGAAAGTAGTTAGACTTCACTTTCGAATAAGCTACTCATGACCATGACCATATTTAGAAATGGAAGATATATGTTTTGATTATATTATATCTGGAACAATAAAACTTGAAAAAATTTCTATATAATTAGGTCATTCATTTTATAAATAAAAAGAATGAAAGTTTAATAAAAGAATGTATATATTGTAATCCATTTAGCCATTTGGAACTGAAAGCTAGTTGGGAATTTAAGGATAATGTATTTTTGATCTTGTCTAACCACCACCCCTCACCCCACCTCTTTTTAAACAGTAAGATAAGATGCCTAACTGAGGTATAGATTTATTATTATAAAGCTGAGGGCACCTGATAAACAGATTAGTCAGCAGAGGTGCTATACAAAGATTGAGACTTTACAAAGAATGAGATTTGCATTGCAAGGGTTTATAACTTATTGCTAAATTTATAAATTGTTAAATTTAGTAATGTAATGTTGTTCCATACACTTATACTGAGCATTATCAATGCAAATTATTCTTCAAATTTGAAATTTCATTTGTGGACTTGTAATAATGGTTAATTAATTGAACAAATCTGTCTATAGTTTTATATCAGACTTACATTGGAATAGTATGTAACTGTTATAAGTATATTTCATCTAATACCATAATACTTATAATACTAAGCTGTAGGCTGATAGCACTTCCTATTTTGAACTTCTTTTTCTCATTCTCTACCCTATTCAGGTACCTTTGTGCAAACCTTAACCCCTGCCTTTCTTTTTAAACCCACTGCTTCTATATTCTTTTTTTTCCTGGTAATTGGTCTTTAGGGTTGATTAGGGAATTAAAATATTTGATAAATATAAGGTAAATGTTTCCTCCTGATTCTTCTATTATTATTATTAAAGATTTTAAAACAATGGAAGGTTGAAACTAATTTTCTTTGATTTGCTTTTTTGATAGATGATTTGTCTTACTCCATACATAGTGCCTGGAAAATATTACTTACGTGGTCAACAAATGTTGGGAGTACTATTGACTTTTTATGGCCAGTACAATGAAGTAATTTTGATTCAGTTTGATTGATGCCAGATCTGTAAGGCTGTATTTTTATGTGGAATATATAGTTTTCCATGAAATGAAGAATATCATTTGTTTTGGAATCCATTTCATTATTTTCTTGTATTATAATTCTTTGTGTATGTAACACAAATAAGCCTCTAACTGAGGCACAATTTTGAATGTAGGGAACATAAGGATGAATGAGACAGAGATGATTCTGACCTTCATGGAGCTTATAGTTTTCCAGTGGAAGTAGATAGTAAACAGAATGATGATTTACTTAGTTTCACTAGTATTACCAAGGAAAAATGGAGTGTGTAATGAGTATACACAATATGGGGTCCATACCTTGTCTTTGGGGTATGTGGAAAAGTAACACGCCGAGACTTAGGGTTGAGGCAGCAGGGCATGTGAGGAGGGAAAGGGATGTGTGTGTGTGTATCTGTGTGTCAGAGGTAGAGGCAGACATTAGGAACAGCCCTGAGGCAGCAGGCTGTTTTGAATACATTAGAGGACTCTTAGCATATTTTAAAATCATGCTAATTTACAATTCTTTATATCTACTTATCTCTTTATATATTTTCATGAATTTGAAAAAACAAATAATTTTCTGAGGGCAATATATTTATGCCTTTAATGACAAGATCTCATTTCATTATATGGGAAAAATGCCATATCTTAAAACTATTTTTATGGATTGCTTGTCAGCCACAGAGTATAAGTTGGCAAAGAACTTCTGTTAGAGAAAATTGAAAGCATTTCATGATTTATGAATATTTTCTGGTCCAGTGAAACTTTTCCAGTAATTTAAATTCAAGTGTAAATTAATAGAGATGTTAGTTGTTTTCTACTGTGTCTGCTGTGTCACTGTTCAACCAATAAATAAGGAGTTGATGTTTTTAAACCCATTTTACAGGATTTACAAGCAATTGCAAATTTAAAGGCATGTTTAATTTGATAGTAGTGGTCTTGATTAGGAGGAGGATGAATCTAGGAGAGTTTTAAATTCTGAAGCTGAGGATTCTTTTTCCAGAATACTCTTTTGTTATTGACTACTGTATTTTCTATTTTCTTAATATAGTTATCAGGAAAATGGAATTGAACTTGACTTCTCATTTGTATGGCTATTTTAAGAATTGTTAAATTTAGTAATGTAATGATGTTCCATACACTTACACTGAGCATTATCAATGTAAATTATTCTTCAAATAATTTAAAACATACATTCAAAGCAGAGTAAAATGCTATTATAATTAGAAGGGACCAAAAGACTTTCTTGACCACAGGAGTGATGAAGTGTTGGGATAAACTACCAGCAAAGTTGTGTAATCTCCATTCCTCACATAACATCTTAAGATTGGGTCACCAGTTACAGAGTGCTGCCCTATTTTCTTAAACTTTTATACATAAACATACCTGCTATTGTCCATGGATGTTGATCAGACGTAGAACTAGAGCATAGAGTCCTAGTTCTGCCACTTACTAGGTAGATGACCTTGGGCAAATCACTTACTCTTTCTGAACCTCAGTTTCCTCCAGGTTGTTATAAAGATGTGTAAAGAAGGATAAAATAGGTACATAATTACTGTTCTCTCTTCTTTATTCCTTCTTTCTAAATCTGCTTCAGTAAATAATAAATATTATGAACTTGTTGCTATGGATGCCTTTTTTAAACCTTATTCAAAGGGGATTGGATAGTGTAAAATAGACTATTTGAAGCTTGACTACTTTCCTTCTACCTTTGAAAATTATTGCTGTTTTTGTCTTTAACTAAGACCCTGTTTCAAGCAGTTGCTATTTTAAATGCTTTTGAATTAAGTGATGTTTTTAAGATGTGTTTTGCCTGTTGGTGTCATGTGATGGTGTGTACGGTAACATGAAGTGTCCCTAAAAGTTCTGAGAGCACTGGTTACTTAGTTGAAACTGCTTGTATTTTTAGGTTTCTCCCTTAGTAATAGTCAAGCTTGTAAACGTTATCATGTGACATCAGCTCAGTCTGGTTCTTGCAAAATAAGAAAGCTACAGCTGTTTTCACTATCTAATCACTCAGTAAGATTTGTTGTAATTCTTAATAAAATTTTTCTTTAAATGTCTGGTTTAACATACAAATGTTTGTCATTAATCTTTTACTTCTATATGACTATTTTAGTATGTCTATTTTTATAGTTTTATACTTATCTAAATTTATGAAGAGAAACATTTAAAAGTATTTAACTCATAATTTGTGACATTTAACACAATTTTTAAAAATACAGTTTGATGTTGAATGTGTACCTTGTCATTTCTTTGACATTATTGAACACCATAATATCATCTTGGAACTTTTCTACTGAATCAAGAGAAGCCCTATTGATGATGATTTAGGTACAGTTTTGTTATTCTAGTTTGAGAAAACTTGTGCCTCAACTGAGAAAAAGATAATGGCAGCCAGGTGCAGTGGCTCATTGCCTGTAATCCCAGCATTTTGGGAGGCCAAGGTGGGTGATCATGAGGTCAGGAGATTGAGACCACCTCTGGCTAACGTGGTGAAACCCCCTCTCTACTAAAACTATAAAAAATTCGCCGTCTCTGTAATTTCAGCTACTCAGGAGACTGACTGAGGCAGGAGAATCACTTGAACTCAGGAGGCGGAGGTTGCAGTGAGCTGAGATCATGCCACTGCACTCTAGCCTGGGTGACAGAGCAAGATTCCATCTTTAAAAAAAAAAGATAATAGCAATTGATGAATGAATAATTAGCTACCTGGAGCCAAGAAAAATTTTATGGAAAAATATGTTAGAGATTTAACAATCTCTTATGCACTGAGGTGAAGAAAACAGGATAAGAATCACCTTCCTATCCAGAAAATTACTGCCTAGTATAATGTAATTTAATTTTGGAAAAGTTGAGCTGAGTTGCCAGTGCCATATACAAGTAGAAATATATCATAAGTAATTCATTGTGGAGAGCTAAAATTTGGAAGAGGAATCTGGGCAGGATGTATAGATGGATTTTCAGCATAGGTGTGGTAATTGAAACGTTTTGAGAAGATGAGAGCATCTAGGGAGAATGTACAGAATAAGCAAAAAATGACATGAGCCCTGAAGAAATGCAATCTTTAAGTAATTATTATTAAGTAATAGCTAAGAAGACTAAGGGTAGGAGGAAGACTGGAGTGACATGAAAAGTAAGAAGATTTAATAGTCCAAAAATAAAGGATTGGTCATTATCACGATATAATGGCCAAGGAAGATAGGGTCTGAAAAAATACGTCCTCCAGATGTAGTATTGCGGTTCTCAGTAGAGCGGTTTTAAAAGGTGTAGTAAAAACAGAACCAGAATAGAGAGTTAATGGATATTTAGGAGATTAGAAGATTTTTGGTTGTTTTTAGTTTTTCTTCAGAAAGTTTGACTGGGTAAGAAAAAAAAAATGGTGGCAAAACGGGGGGGGGGGGCATTATGTTATTATTTCAATTATTATTTTTTGAGATTGAGTTTCACTCTGTCACCCAGGCTGGAATGCAGGGGTGCACAGTCATGGCTTAGTGCAGCCTCAGTCTCTTGGGCTCAATTGAGCTTCCTGCCATAGCCTCCCGAGTAGCTGGGACTATGGGCACATGTCACCATGCCTAATTTTTTAGCTTTTGTTTTGTAGAGACAGTGTCTCGCTATGTTGTCCAGGCTGATTTTGAACTCCTGGCCTCAAGTGATTCTCCTATCTTGGCCTCTCAACGTGCTGGGATTACAGGTTTGAGCCACCGTGACTATTATTTCAGTTTTTAAAGATTACATAATCTTTTAAAGATTTTATTGCTAATAGGAAACACTCCAATAAAGGAGTTGATTATACTAAAAATACATTGAATGAGCACAATTATTATAATTAAATCAATATATTATGCTTATACTTTTACTTTTGATATAAAACTTTTCTTTGTAAAACTTACAATGCAAATTTTCAAGAAAGACCATTAGACATCTGTAATCTGTTCATGTTATTTTATAGAACTATTTCTCTGCTTAAAATTCTCAGTGACTTCCAGTTGTAAAAATGTGAACTCTTTAATTGCTGCACCAAACACAGTGCCTGGTACATAATAGTTAAATAATAAATAGGCATTTAATGAATGAATGTGAACCTCAAAAGTAAGTGATGTGCCCATGCCACAAAGCTTGAGCTAGAACTTTTATTTTCTGGATAAATTTTTTGTATGTTCTAATTAAGACTTGATTTGTTGCAGAATTTATTAAGGCATATATAGGAGGAGGGATCGATCAATAGATGAAATCTTAAATGAATTCATTTAGAAGGAATGAAAAGAAAACTTCTAAAAGTTTTGATTAAGTATATTCATAAAATTCAGATTGTTCTCTTTTAGCAATGTAAGATCTCTGAAATGTGGTATACATCAAAATTAGTTGAGTTGAAATTAGAAAGGTAAAAGTGAAAACACTCTGAAATCTAAAAGTTACAATATACCTTAACTTGTTATTAACATTATATAATGCACAGTATTAGAATTTAAGTAGTATAATTTGACACTTTTGCCCTTTTAGGCATATTGTTACAAAAATATTAGTCTTTATGACATTCTACAGTATTGAATGCTTACATCCTTTCAAGACGTTGATTATATATAAAATTAACTAGTTAAGTATGTTTATTTTATATACATCATCCTAAAATAAATCAAGATATTAGATACATTAGGGATTTAATTATTAAATAATTTTGAAAAATCAACCATTTTTTGGCTAACTCCTTATCTTTTTCCATTTCATTGACCAGAGCTGGACTGGCCATTATGGAGGAGGAGCTGCAGCATTCACATTGTGTGAATTGTGTCAGTAGACGGTGTATGACCAGACCAGAGCCTGGGATTTCCTGTGATTTGATTGGTTGTCCATTGGTTTGTGGTGCCATTTTCCACTCTTGTAAAGCCGATGAGCATCGACTTTTATGTCCATTTGAACGAGTGCCTTGCTTAAATAGTGACTTTGGATGTCCTTTTACCATGGCCCGAAATAAAGTTGCCGAACATCTAGAAATGTGTCCTGCAAGTGTGGTGTGCTGTACTATGGAATGGAACCGATGGCCAGTTAGTTATGCAGACCGAAAATCATATGAAAATCTAAGCAGAGATGTTGATGAAGTGGCACAGTTAGATATGGCCTTGGCTCTTCAAGACCAAAGAATGCTCTTAGAATCTCTCAAAGTAGCCACCATGATGTCAAAAGCAACTGATAAAGTTTCCAAACCTAGAGAACAAATCTCAGTTAAATCAAGTGTCCCAGAAATACCACATACTAATGGTTTGGTGTCTGTTGATGAAGAATCTTATGGTGCACTCTATCAAGCTACTGTAGAAACAACCAGAAGTTTGGCTGCTGCTTTGGATATCCTGAATACTGCTACAAGAGACATTGGCATTTTAAATACAAGTGTCTGTGCTTCCCCAGATGAAATGAGTAAAGAGCAAAATGCAAGAGAAAGCTTACAGTATCAAAACTTGAAAGACCAAGATCATCTTTATGAGGAGGAGATAGGAGCAGTAGGTGGAATTGACCACAATGACACAAGTCAGAATGCCCAGTCTGAACAAAATGGTTCCAGTGATTTATTATGTGACCTGAATACAAGTTCTTGTGACACTTCTGCTCTTTGTAATGGCTTTCCTTTGAAAAATATATGTGCACAGGTCATAGACCAGAATCATAATTTACATGGTGATTCAAAACAAAGTAACTTAACAAATGGAGCCTGTGTGGCATCAGATGGCACTTCAAAACCTTCCAGCTCACTTGTGGCAGCAGCACAACTTAGGGAAGTAATACCATCCAATGCTTTGCTTAATGGCACAGTTCAGCATATCCTTATACCCGATGATGAGGATGAAGGTGAATTGTGTTGGAAAAACGTAGACTTAGGGGACTTGAAGAATATGGATGTCTTATCTTTCAGTTCTGCTCCTTCATTCAATTTTCTTTCTAATTCATGTTGGTCTAAACCAAAGGAAGATAAAGCAGTAGATACATCAGATTTGGAAGTTGCAGAAGATCCCATGGGCCTCCAAGGAATAGATCTGATCACAGCAGCATTGCTATTTTGTCTAGGAGATTCTCCAGGAGGGAGGGGTATATCTGATAGCCGCATGGTTGATGTTTATCACATTGACTTTGGGACTCAGACTTTTTCACTTCCATCTGCAATATTAGCTACAAATACAATGGTTGGGGAAATAGCTTCAGCTTCAGCTTGTGATCATGCCAATCCACAGCTTTCAAATCCAAGTCCATTTCAGACACTTGGGCTGGATTTAGTATTGGAATGTGTCGCTAGATACCAACCCAAGCAGCGTTCAATGTTTACCTTTGTGTGTGGACAGTTATTTAGAAGGAAAGAATTTTCTTCCCATTTTAAGAATGTGCATGGTGACATTCATGCTGGACTCAATGGCTGGATGGAACAGAGGTGCCCTTTAGCATACTATGGTTGTACCTATTCTCAGCGTAGATTTTGTCCATCAATACAAGGAGCGAAGATTATCCATGACCGCCATTTGAGGTCATTTGGAGTTCAGCCATGTGTATCTACAGTATTAGTAGAGCCTGCTAGAAACTGTGTATTGGGATTACATAGTGACCATCTAAGTAGTCTTCCTTTTGAGGTCCTGCAGCATATTGCAGGCTTTCTTGATGGCTTCAGTTTATGCCAGCTCTCATGTGTATCCAAGTTAATGAGGGATGTGTGTGGCAGCCTGCTACAGTCTCGTGGCATGGTCATACTGCAGTGGGGGAAAAGGAAGTATCCAGAAGGAAATTCATCATGGCAGATAAAAGAAAAGGTTAGTTTAATCTTTATCAACCTCTTATTTGACATAAAGAGACCTTTAATAATGCTGCTGAATTAATACAATTAATATCTTGTTGAGAAATTCACCATTCCCTAAAACTTACTAAATCAATATGATGACAGACTTTGTTTTAATGGTAATGAATCATGAACTAGGATAATTAGAATTGTTTTCCATATTTATAGCTTTACTACTGATTTCCTAGAACTAGTTCATAATCTAATATGGCAGAGACCACTTACGTTTCTCGACGTTTCTATAGCAACTCTTTGTTTGGGTCCATGTTATCATCTTCTAATTTGGACTCCACCTGAAACATTTTCGCCATAAGATAACAGAGGAAGCAAGGAGAGGGTTTTCTTCCCTCTTGTGATAGTCTCTCCATTCTATGGCAATTTTGTTCCTAGGATTTGGTTGTTTCAGGTATAATCTAAATAGTAAGAGGTGAGAAAAGTTATAACTACTACTATGGTCATATATTAAAGTGAGCAGAGAAGTATATGGAGAATAAGAAACATAAACGGATAAATGAGGAAATATGTTAGGCCAGTCTGAGAAAAGAGGAGGGCAGTAGAATTTGATATTGTGGGTGAGGACTCGGTTTAGTAGAGTCCAAAGGAGTGATGTATTCTGCATGGGAAACTTGAGCTAGAGATTTAGGCAGACCTAAGCAAACCCAGGCTACACCATTTTCCTTCTGTGATAGCCTACTTTTGCTCAGCTTCTATTTGGCACTTCTCAGTAGGAACTGGAAGGTATTACAGATATCTTTGATTGAAGGTTTTTTTTTTTTAAACTTTTAGAACACTTATATGAAACTTTTACATTTTATAAAGTGGAAACATTTGTGATAAACTTTACATTTAGTTGCACAGCATTCAAACTCTGGTTACTTTATTCATAGCACCTTTAGGTTTTCTTTCATCCATTGCACTAATTTTTCAGAATTCTACATCTACTTGGTTTTCCTGAGGCTTTGACCAATAAATGATCACACAAATTGTTTTATGATTTTTTTTTCCAAAAGGAAATTTCTGGTGGCAGAAAGTTTCTACTGCTTGTGTTTGTGTGTATTTTTGTTTTTCATATGATTTCATATCTTTTCTTCCCTTTGCGACGGAACAGTCTTAGTATGGCCTCTGTTTATCTTTGCCTACTATTATTGACATATGGAGTGAAATTTTTTGGGGGGTGGGGATTCTATAATCATTGCTGCAGAAAATCTCACCTATTCTTCAAATGTAACTCACCATCATATGTACACATTACTCACACATCTGTATCCTGGCCATTTGTTTCACTGAACTCCCAACCAGTATATACATGCGTCTACTGGACATTTTCACTTGATTACCCTACAGCTTCCTCAAACCCAACAAATCCAACCTACTCCACTCTTCCCCCTCTTAGTATGAGAAAGTGGCACCATCATCACCAAGTTTTCTAAACTAGGAATTTAGAAGTTAAGCTGACTGCTTTTTCTCCTCCCTTTATTTTTTTTTCAGATAATCACGAAGTCCTGTTTCATTTTCTTTTTTTCATACCTCTCAGGTTTGCTTCTCTGTTTTCACTGGCATTTCCCAAGTTCAGTCCCAACTTTAGTTGTCTCCTGGACTACAACAGCAGCTTCCTCCTAACTGGATTCCTACTTCCAGTTGGGCCCCTCTCCAATATATTCTCTACACAAGAGCTAATGTGATGTGTATTTTCTTAAATACAATTCTTACACTGTCACCGCAGTGCTTAAAAACTTCTTTAATATTTGTTCATCACCCATAGAGCCCAGCTCCTTAATAAAACATATTAAGACTTTTCATAATCTCATCTTTATCTTTTCACTTTCCTCCTGTCATTTTATACTGTAACCACATTGATTTACTTACAGTTCCCAGATGTTTTTTCTTAGGTTAAGTCCTTCAAATATGCTGTCCCTAATTCTCACACTTGAACACCTGGAATATGCTACTCAGTGTGCATTCGTATTTTACTTATATTAACTTATATAATCCACTGTCCCCATTTTACAGACAAAGAAACAGAGGTTAAGTATTCTGGCCAGCTAATTGACTTAGGAAACCAGTTTCTTGATCTTGTGATCTTCATCTTCTTGCTATGTCCTGCTTACTCTCAGGCTTTACTTCCTGATGACAGCTTCTTGGGACCCCCACCCTGAAGCCTTCTGAGAGTTGCACTGCTCTGTGTTCCTGTGGTGCTCCATTATATACCTCTGCTAAAGCACTCACTGTGCTGTTTTGAAATTGATTGATGAATTGTCAGTTTCAGTCTCTAGACTGCAAATTCCTTGAGAAGTGGGATTCTTGGGAAACCAAAATACTTCCTTGCATAGCACCTACTATGTCATAGGCACTAAGTAAATACTTGATGTATACTTGAATGAAAGATGGATCCATTACTAAGAAACCTTGTCATAAGCAGGTGGGAGTCATATGTTTTCTTTTGCCTGCTTTTCCTGAATTTGTTTCACCAGACTCTCAGTTGTATGGAAGTAGAGAGGCTGCCTGTCAACATTGAATCTTTCAGCTATTTCATCTGCCAAAGCTTAAAGAAAATTCCTAATTCCTTTTGTAGCTTTGGAATTAGGAGTTTTCTTGGGGAATGGTAAGGGAGGCTATTGACATCTATACTATCACTAGACCTTCACTGACTCCTGGGAAATTACTCCATAAAGGATAATGGATCATAACCCTAAGGAGTATAGGGACTACCTGTGCTGAACAATGGGGATTTTCTATAGCTAGTTGAAAAATAATTGTGTTTCCACAAAATTCAAAGACATCTAGCCACCCCAAGAAGACATTACCGTGCTTTCCTGAGAAGTAATAAATGCTAAGGGTTTTTCTCAAATCTGCCACTTTCTAAAGCAGGGATGTCCAATCTGTTGGCTTCTCTGGGCCACAATGGTAGAAGAATTGTCCTGGGCCACACATAAAATAATGATAGCTGATGAGCTAAAAAAAATAAAAATAAAAAATAAAAATGATAAAAAATCTCATAATGTTTTGACGGTATTTCATGGCCTGGAGCTGTTGAGTGAACAAAAGGGCTACTTTAGCCTGTATTTTTAGCTACAGACATGAATAGGGATGGCAGGTGAGTATTTTGCCTAGAAGCATGCTTTACAATGATACGGACTAAAATAGGATCCATTTTACAAATATTATTTTTATATAAATTTTCAGAACCATTTTGAATAAATTGAAGTACCTGTGTTCTTGAATCTTACTATGTACCTTTAGTACTTGTGAACAGCAGAAAAATAAGCTTACCGGTATTTTTAGTACATATAGTGTAAATAGGAATGGGAAAGAAAAACCTGGAGACAAAATTTAATAACACTTGTATTGTCAGTATCTCCAGAGTTCTAGATAGCCAGTTGGAGAGTATGAAGGAATAGTGTGCAGCATATAATACTTTAGGAAATGGCTCTGAATTTGTGCAGTTTTGATTTTATAAAAATCATTTAGCAAGCCAGATTGGTGTAATTTTTAATACTGAGTTTTGGTTTTTTGTTACAGTTTTTAAGTTTATTGAAGTCATAATGTCATAGAAGTGATTTACCTTATAATTTTTTGACAGACGTATTTGCATTCAAAAGGATTTGCCAATTTTTATTTTATAGCTACTTGAAATTTTATATTGGATGCTTCTATAACAGTAGAAATGTATGCAGTAGGAGCAAAAAGTGTTTTTTAATTCTCTAAAAATTGACTTGTTTAAATCTAAAGTAGAATTTTCTTGTAGGTATGGCGATTTAGTACTGCATTTTGTTCTGTTAATGAATGGAAATTTGCTGACATCCTAAGCATGGCTGACCACCTGAAGAAATGCAGTTATAATGTTGTCGAGAAACGGGAGGAAGCAATCCCATTGCCATGTATGTGTGTGACACGAGAACTCACTAAAGAAGGACGTTCACTACGCTCAGTTTTAAAACCTGTACTTTAAGGGTTGTAATTTTACTTGCACATACGTGCAAGCATCTAGTATAATTTCTTTGTAATATGTGAAACCTTATTAATGTATTAAATATTACAACTAGCTAAATTTATTGTCACTGTATATAATGTTTTGGAGTAACATCTATTTTTATAAAGTACTGTTTAGTTGGAAAAAGTTGCCTTAATGTTTGAAATGTGTGAAATTTTGGAACTTGCTGGACAGGGTGATTTAATTATTAGCTACATAATTTTAAGAATTAGTATTTTCAATGGTGTGCATATTTTGGTTCTTAAATTTTTGCATCTTAAACTAACAAAATCCTGACCAATTTATTCCTTGTTTTCTGTGGGTTGCAACCCATGCAGTCAGAAAGCAAAACTTTGATTCAGATTTTTTACAGCACAAGTTTTTCATATAAAAACATTCTCAATTTCTTAAGCACTGCCATAAGATCATTATAATGTTTTTGTCTTTTAGTGCTTCCCTTATACAGTTGTTAATGCTCAGATGATCTCTCATATGTACTTACATATGTAAAATCATAACTAAAGTTTGGTAATGCAGTTTATCACGTTTTAAAAATAATCCACAAAGATGTTTTCATCTCATGTACTGAGAGCTCAACACAGAGAGTGACCACGTGCAGCTTTCTTTTTTGTTAGATGCCACATCCAAAGACTCACCGCAGTGTGTTACATGACAGGTCAAAGCAAAAACAAGCAAACAAAAAGCAAGCCTGTGAATTTACTGTAATCTGAAACTGTTCATGATATTACATATTTGCTAGGTATTTATTGTTTTAAAAGAAAATATACCTCATTTTAAGTTTGAATTGGGCATATTGTATAAATTTTAAATGTTCAGAATGCAAAGGGCTTAACTTAAATTTTTGCCTTTTATGTTTATAAACATTACAACTATGTTGTTTTAAGACCTTAGAAACATGAAATTTGTTAATCTTTGTAAAATGACAATCATGTAGAAACCTGTCTTGGTTGACAATCTCTTTGAAACATTTCCAAATTAATTTCCCATAGACTTCACCACCAAGAGAGTAAGAATTGCATATTTGAATAATAATCAAGGTATAATGGAAAAATACCCCTGTTTTTGAAATAGTTTATTATGGTTTTCAAATTGATTTATACCATTATTAACTTGATGTGGTCTGTTTAAAAAAATGAATATATCAGTATTTAGAAATAAATTGCAAAGGTGGGGATATACACTTAAATAATTTGTCTTAAGTAAATTCTAGCATTTGGTAGTCTGAAATGGTGACAGATTACTTGTTAAAATTGTGAAAACTCTGTTGTGTTCTCTCCTCCTACATTTGTCCCTGAGAGTGCTCTATGAGTACTAGCTTCTTGACACCCATATATAGCAATCAGGCAGAGGCGTTCCTTGGGCATTACAGAGTTCTGAAGCTTAAGGTTTTTTTGGTTGGATCAAGTCCTTAGTACAGTTGAAGTATACAGCATTAAAGACTAATCAATTGTCTTGCCTCACCTGTCATTTTAAATAGTAGAATACTTATTTCTCACTGCTTATAATTTCTTTTTCAACTGTGAGATTGAATAGTCTCTATTTCTGTGGGAAAAAAACAGAAAAAAGATATTAAATACTATAAAATATAACTCTGCCTTTTAAAGTTTTGCTGAAGAATGTGTGGTTAGGATAGCACAAGCATTTTCTGTTTTGTTGTTACGCTTTTTAAAATTCATTGTTTTTAAATTTAGACTTCTTATTTCCACACTGGATTATGAGATATTTAACAATTTTTCCACCTTATATTTCTTTTACACATTTTGCTGTTCTCTCTTTTTTTGTTGTTGTTATGCCACCATACCATTTTGTTAAAATGTTTTCTTTGTGAAACATTTGTTCAAGTTCTAATAAAATTAATATTTTCCCTTTACATGGCTCAATAACTTAAAAACTTTCGTTTAAATAAAATTTTAATACTTGTTTGACAAATTCCAACACAATCATATTGTTTCTGTAATGTGGATTTTCTGCATGTTGTGGTAATTATTGATTATCATCATTGCTCACCCATGTTTTACTAGTGAACCTTAATTTTTTAAAAGACGAGAAACTCATTCGTTAGCTTTCTCTGATCCTTCAGTGTGTCAAAAGTAATACCACCTAGGTGCACTGAAAGGTGGAAGAGTTTCTAGCATGGTTATATCTCTAAAAATTGTAATGGAAACCATCTGTTTAGCCTCTTAAGCATGAAAAGGTTTGTATGTTGCCATAATAGATTGTACCTTGAGAAGTCCTTGTTGATTCCTTAGTCTTTGCTAAACAGCAAGGTAAAAGGCAAACATCGGGATGGAGGGAAATACTTGAATTCACTTTTATCCTTTGCCTCCTTCCCCAATACTGCCTGTTAACTTAATCTTTCTCCCTCTCTCTCTCCCTCCCCCTTTCCTTTCATCTCCCTCTCTCACTCTTTTTCACTAGATTTTGAGACTCACAGATCACTTACAGAAGTGGTTCCAAAAGTTGTCCTTGAACCAGTAGGAACAGCAACACCTGGGAATTTGTTAGAAATGCAGATTATTAGGCGTCTCTCCAGACTTAGTGAATCAGAAGCTCTGGGGTAGAACCCAGCATTCTCTTTTAACAAGATCTCCAGGTGATTCTAATGCACAGTAAAGTATTAAAACTTAGCAGGAAGCCTAGGTCATGCTAGCTACCCTCTGGTGTATTACTGGAGTGGATATATGTATGTACGTGTGTGTGTGTATAATATATGTGCAATCCAAAATTAAGAATAATGGTAATATGTTAATAGTTAAACTATATATGTTGTCTCAATTTTACAGCCATATGACAAAATACATTGGGTGCTGTAGTTGTTGGACTTGTATTCTTTAAATTAGTATTCACTAGTATTTAAAAATTTACCAGTATTTTACCAGTGTTTCTTCTGTTCAAGGTAAATTGCAGTGCAAATTTTAGTTCATTAGCAGTAATATTTAGCCTAGTCATCTCATTCTCTTGTTTAGTGGTTGCAGAGTTATGAACATATATAAATTTTAGGATAATCAAAGAGAAGTAGACAAATATTCGATTAAATCCTACAAAAATGTTTTTAGGGATATTTTCAACCCATTCAGTAGGATGTTTAATTAAAGATTGGATCTCTTGTTTATGGATAGTATAGAATCTTTTTTTATCTTTAATCCTGTGCTGCCTATCTCATCAGTGTTGTGCTATTAATATCTGTCCTTTAACGTTGAATGTTGGGATCTTAGTAATCTTGAATATAGTAAGATTTTCAGCAAAACTTCCGTATCCTTTGAAGGTATGGTAGTTTATATTATTGATAATGGTTTTACCTGTGGAGATTTGACTAGTTTTAGGTGTTTGGAAGCAAAACAGACTATCTTCATGTTTTGCATCCCAACCTAAAAAGACGTGGAGTTTTGTTTATTTTAAATTTTCCTAAGGAAAAAGTATTCAAATATTTTAAAATGTGTTTGTTTCATGCATGACATGCCACGTTGAAAGTGATGTGATTGGAGTTTATACAGAATTGATTGTTTAGAAGTGCAGTAGAAAGGAAGCAAGTGGCCCTAATTCTCTGAACAAAGACTTGATGGAAAGAAGTTTTCTAGGTGTTTGGTTATCTAAATGTTAATGTAAGTAGTTTTACTTAAGGTGCTCATAAGGCCTAGGAAGCAGAGAATATTAGTTATACCTTTGTCAACTCATCAGTGACTTGTTTCATGGTATTTAAGATAATTTAATAATAGGGTTTGACAGGATTCATCTGATTTCCAAAAAAGCAGTTTGAATTCAGGAAAGATCAACTGTAATGAAGTCCTTTCTAAATAAGGGAAGAGGAAAGATGGTTTGCTTTTGAAGTCATCTTTTACATAATTATTTCCTTTTATTTAAAAGATTAAAGTGAGGTCAAGAGATAAAACCTTTCAAATTTCAATTTTTATGGATGAGAAAACAGGTACTTAAGTTTAGGCAGTGACTAGTGTACTGGGATATTTGAGAGAGAACTGTGTCCTTACATGGATCACTTTTTTACTTTACGAATGCAGGAAGGAAAGGGATGTTTAGATGTAAGGAAATTTGGAAAATATTACCTAGAATGTTTGATTTCTACTACTTTGGAAAGCATTTTGGAGCAATACCAAAAGGAAACAAACTAACCAAGTGTGTGGTATGTTTCTCTGAAAATCTTGGCAAAACTAGGGCCTCTTGCTAAATTTTACAAGTAGGTTATTGCATCTGTGATTAAACTTTTTTCATAAATTGCTTATACATATATTTATTTGACATATATAATCTTCATAATTGGCCAATACACCTTGAAACGTATTAATGGCAGTACATCTTGAGTTGCTTTGTTACCTTAACGCATTTCAAAACTGAAATTTTGTATTCAGATTGTTTCATATTTCAATGTATTATGAAAAGAGGGACGTTTCATTAATAAACTACAAAGAAATGGGTTATAAGGAAGATTCATGTACATGCTCTATAGAAATATAGTAAAAATTCATTTGATGTAAATTCCTTTTTTAAAAATAATTCTCAGTCTTTTTGATATGCTGGACTGAAGCTTCTGTCCTTTACTATGAAGAAAACATTTCTGAAGCGAACTGACAATGCAAATACTGGGTAAAAATTTAAGCATCTACAAAATTATTAATCCATTTGCATGCAAATATTAGGAAATGATTTTTTAATACGTAGCTAGTTCTTGTGGTGGTTAATAGTTCGTGTGTTTGAAAGTAATAAAACTGCATTTGTGTTGAACTCTTAAGACAAATTAATCAGGTCAATTGCTCTGAACAAAGGCAGATTCATCCGATTTAATTTCTACCTTTTCTATTTAAATTTTTAGAAAATTTGGTTCTCAGATGTGAGGCCAATAGGTTGATATATTTGTTTATTTGACAGAGGAACTGACTAGAGTTCGCTTTCTAATACCCCTTCCAGTCAAACAGTAACATCGTTATATTAATATTCAGTAGTAGTTATAAATTTTAATGACATGAGAATAGTAATAATTTTTTAATAAATCGAAAGACTGAAGTTGAAAAAAAAGGGTCCTGCCCTCTGCTGTCATAGAATTTTTTTTTTTTTCTGTTGAAATCCTCTTCCATATTGCCATTATTACTCCTTTATCCCATGACTTCAGTTTTCTGGTGAGGTAACCCTGAATGTAGTCATTTTGGTCAGTAGTTTTAGATTTAAGTAAGTGATCACACTTGTTTTAAAGTCTCTTTCAGCTCACCCATGAAGAAACAATATTTTTTTTCATTTTTTTCTTTGAATATTGGCAAGTATTACTGAATCTAACTGAAGTATCAGCATTCAGGTTTAACCATGCTATTTGATTGAAAGAAATCAAACCATGGAAGTAATGATGGGCACTGTATCTGCTCAAGAGTAAAATTAGCCAATGAATAATTATGTCAACTGGATGTCTTTAATCAGTTGTAACTTTTTTTTAAAAATCTGTATTTCTAATAAAACATAGAGCAGTATTGACTCCTTACAACATTCCAATAGCTTTGTCATGACAGCTGTGACATGATATAAGTTGCTCTGAATGGCTAATAATTCAATGGACATGAATTCTAAAGATTTTTATTTGCACTTAAAATGTTAAAGTAGTGTTCATTTGATCAACATTTCAAAACCAGTCAGTATTGGAAACTTTAACTGCATTCTGAAAGATCATTGTACTGATTCACTTACTTAAGATGTAATTTGGCTTCCAATTTAGCTTTTCTCATGATTTACATAAATAGTTGTTGCTATCTTAAATGCAGAAAGATGGTATTCTTTGGGGAGACAAAAAAACCTAAATGAATGAAGCTAGACACAAAAGGGCTACATACTATATGATTTCATTTATATGAAATATTCAGAATAGGTAAATTCATAGAGACAAATCAGATTCATGGTTGCTGGGGGGGGTGAGTGCTTCATGGGTATGGGGTTTTCTTTTGGACTGATGAAAATATTGTAGAACAAGATAGTGGGGATAGTTGTGCAATATTGTGAATGTGCCAAAATGCCACTGAATTGTGTACTTCAAAGTGGAGTATTTGATGTGTATTTTGTTACAATTAAAAAGAAAAGAATTTGGTATTTGCAGTCGTTGCCAAATTCAAAAACTAGTGTTCTCAACGTTTGTGAAATGCCCAAACTATGGTTTGTAATCAATTTATAGTATTAGTAACATGACAAGTCTATTCAGTTTAAAGTTCTGGTAAAATTTGTGAATCCCATCATAGAAGTACTCCTGACTGCAGCAGAAATAAAGCTGTAATTCATCAAAATTTCCTTATATTTAATACTTCTGTGACTGAGTAATTGACTTTTGTGTCATTGTTTATTTTTTAATCTTTTGAAATTTATGATTCCTTGTGGCACATCTCAATCACACTTTTTAAAGATATGTTTTTAAAATCATGCTTTGAAAAAAATTTGTATAATTTTCAAGGTCATTTTTTATAGTTTTATACGTTGTTTCTTTTGAAGAACAAATGCAACTGTGTATTAGATAAGACTAAATAAATTGTACTGATGTATACATTTGTATGCTTTGATATTGTCTTGTGGGGAAACTTTCTGAATCTTAAGATTGATAGGAACTCTAATGATCATTTAGTTTCTCATTTTATTATTTGGAGAAATGGAAGCTGAGGTTGTCAGTGTGTCATTCATTCAACAAACGTTTATTGAACACTCATGTCAGATAATGTGTAGGCTTGATTCTGGAAGGTTATTTCATGCATTAAACTTTCACGGGTAATTTCTTTTTTTCTTTTTTTTTTCTTTCATCTAGTAATTATGCCAGACACATGGACAAACGAACAAGTTTCAGAGGAGGGGAGGCTTAAGGCATAGAATCACTTTAAGTTGTTCTTCTCATAATTCTTCTCCAAACATCTTAAAGAGACGTTCTTCAGCACAGTAAAGCACACATGATCATAAGCAGTCTGCTACTCAAGGAATATGTTGCTACTTTCATGACTTTGGGAAGGGGCTATTTTCCAGTCACTTTAAACCAATTATTTTCCATTGTTCTAAGGAGCCAGCTTAGTACTATTGGTTCAAATCAATCTTTAAAAAAAAAAAAAAAAAAATTCACAATTGGAAAAAAAAAAAGTTAAATTGCTTTGCAAATAGCTGTGCCTCTCACGTAGTTAGGGGTATATATGCAAATTAAGGGGCGTGTATGCTCCAAGTTGAACAACAATAAGTTAATTAAATGAACTTAACAAAATGAGGCTGATAAGGTAATAAACATAGACAAGTAGCAGTACAGTAGCTTTACTTACATACTGCAAAATAGTCCAAAATCAAAGAAAATAAGAAGGTAATAACTGTGATAATTCATACACTAATACATTTGTTATGATTTTTTACCTTAGTCATTTCTTCTTAATATTTTGATACTTCTACAAGAGTTAGGACTTATTGCCACGTAGATTATTTGACCTGAATTTCCTTGATCATCTGCTTTCTCTTATTCCATCACTTTGGACTCTATATTTCTGCTGCATTGTATTACTATTTCCCAAACACTTCATATCCTTCAATGTCTGTGAGCCTTTACATATGCTATTTCTTTTGTCTAGAATGTTCTCCCCTAACTTCTTTTCCTGGTTCATTGGTGAAAACCCAATTCCAACCTCATCTGCTTTTTTTTTAGACCATCTAATGGATAATCATCTCTTATCTACGACTTGGTTTCATTTTGTTTTAAAATCATATTGTTTTACAGTATAATCACACTGTACTGCCATTATCTATTTGCTGGTATCTATACAGTAGTATAAATTATGGGCTCCTCTAAGTAGAAACCATATCTTATATGGCTGTGCATCTCTGTTATTTGCTGAGGGCCTTACAAACAGAAGGTAATACGGTTTGGCTGTGTTTCCACCAAATCTCGTCTTGAATTGTAACTCCTACAGTTTCCACATGTTGTAGGAGGGACCTGGTAGGAGGTAATTGAATCGTGAGGGCAGGTCTTTCCCGTGCTATTCTTGTGATAGTGAATAAGTTTCATGAGATCTGGTCATTTTAAAAATGGGTTTCCCTGTGTGAGATCTCTCTCTTTGCTGCCATCCATGTAAGACGTGACTTGCTTCCCCTTACCTTCCACCATGATTATGAGGCTTCTCCAGCAACGTGGAATTGTAAGTCCATCAAACCTATTTTTCTTCCCAGTCCTGGGTATGTTTTTATCAGTAGCATGAAAATGGACTAATGCAGTAAATTGGTACCAGTAGAGTGGAGTGCTACCAAAAAGACACCCAAAAATGTGGAAGCAACTTTGGAACTGGGTGACAGGAAGAAGTTGGAACAGTTTGGAGGGCTCAGAAGAAGAAGGGAAAATGTGGGAAAGTTTGGAACTTCCTAGAAACTTGAAGAATGGCTTTGACCAAAATGCTGATAATGATATGGACAATGAAATCCAGGCTGAGGTGATCTCAGACGGAGATAAGGAACTTCTTGGAAACTGCAGCAAAAGCGACTCTTGTTATGTTTTATCAAAGAGACTAGGGGCATTTTGCCCCTGCCCTAAAGATTTGTGGAACTTGAAACTTGAGAGAGATGATTTAGGGTATCTGGTAGAAGAAATTTCTAATCAGCAAAACATTCAATATGTGACTTGGGTGTGGTTAAAGGCATTCAGTTTTATAAGGGAAGCAGAGCATAAAAGTGGGAAATTTGTAGCCTGACAATGTGATAGAAAAGAAAATCCCATTCTGAGGAGAAATTCAACCCAGCTGCAAAAATTTGCATAAATAATAGGGAGCTGAATATTAATCCCCAAGACAATGGGGAAAATGTCTTAAGGTCATGTCAGAGGTCCTCACAGCAGCCCCTCCCATCATAGGCCTGGTGGCCTGGAAGGAAAAAAATGGTTTCATGGGCCAGGCCCAGGGTCCCCTTGCTCTGTGCAGCCTAAGGACTTGGTGCCCTGCATCCTAGCCACTTCAGCCATGGCTAAAAGCAGCCAAAGTACAGCTTGGGCCATAACTTCAGAGGGTGCAAACCATAAGACTTGGAAGCTTCCATATGGTGTTGAGCCTGCAGGTGCACAGAAGTCAATAATTGAGGTTTGGGAACCTCTGCCTAGATTCCAGATGATGTACAGAAACACCTGGATGCCCAGGCAGAAGTTTGCTGCAGGGACAGGGGCCTCATGGAGAACCTCTGCCAGGGCACTGCAGAAGGGAAATGTGTGGTCAGAGTCCCTACTGAAGCACTGCCTAGTAGAGCTGTGAAAAAGGGTCACTGTCTTCCAGATCCCAGAAAGGTAGATCCACTGACAGCTTGCACCATGCACCTGGAAAAGCCATAGATACTCAATGCCAGCCCATGACTCTCCTGCAAAGCAGCCAGGAGACAGATGCCCCTGCAAAGCCACATGGGCGGAGCTGCCCAAGACCATGGGAACCCATCTCTTGCATCAGTATGACCTGGATGTGAGACATGGAGTCAAAGGAGATCATTTTGGAGCTTTAAGATTTGACTGGCCCATTGATTTTGGACTTGCATGGGGCCTTCAGCACCTTTGTTTTGGTCAATTTCTCCCATTTGTAATGAGTATATTTATCCAATGCCTCTACCCCCATTTTATCCAGGAAGTAATAAACTTCCTTTTGATTTTACTGTCTCATAGATAGAAAGGACTTGCCTTGTCTCCGATGAGACTTGGACTGTGAACTTTTGAGTTAATGCTGAAATGAGTTAAGACTATGTGGGATGGTTGAGAAGTCATGATTGGTTTTGAAATGTGATGACATGAGATTTGGGAGGGACCAGGAGTGGAATATGGATAGGCTGTGTCCCCACCCACCCGAATCTCATGTTGAACTGTAACTCCCACAGTTTCCACATGTTGTGGGAGGGACCCAGTGGGAGGTAATTGAATCATGGGTGTGGGTCTTTCCCATACTATTCTTGTGGCAGTGAATAAGTCTCATGATGCTTTAAAAAAATGGGAGTTTCCCCATACAAGTTGTCTGTTTTCCTGCTGCCATCTACCTAAGATATGACTTGTCCTCCTTGCCCTTCACCACGATTGTGAGGCTTCCTCAGCCACATGGAAATGAAAGTCCATTAAACCTAGTTTTCTTCCCAGTCTCAGGTATGTCTTTATCAGCAGCATGAAAACAGACTAATACAGAAGGCATTCAGTAGATGTTTGTTAATCTAATCATGAAAAATAATTGAATGATTTAGTGTTGTGTTAGTTCACTTTTGCTGCATAACATGAAACCCTAAAAATATGTTGTTTAAACAACAATATAACTAGCTCATGATTGGTTGGCTCAGCGTTTCTGGTTGGCCTGACTTGGCTGATGTCTTCCTAATTGGCTCATGTCCATGGTCTGCTGATGGATTGGCTGGAAGTTAGATGACCTAAGATCACTGTTCACATCTGGTAATTGGAAGGCTGTTGGCTAGAGTTATGGG